TAGGGAGAGGAGGGAGGCAGACAGATAGGCAAACAGTCCACGCCCCTTCGAGCGGTTGAAAACAAACAACCTCTGAAGAGGCGCGGACTGTTTGCCTCACACTGTCTGCCTCCCTCCTCCCCCTAGCACTGCCTCCGCCGGCACGCACGCCAGCGGACTATGAAAGCAGCCATTATGTAATTAGTGGTACTCACTGGTAGTAGAGCTCAGCTCAGCGTTTGTCCTTAACACGGTTCTTGATCGTGCTGTGCTTGACAGCGATTCGCCAGTGGTTGATGGTTGTGTTGTTGCTGTCGGCGACGTTACCGACGGCTGTGTAGAGGAAGCAATTAGCTGGTCACTGTCAAGATCGTTTGCAAGGCCATCTTTCTGTGGACTCAACGGCCCACAGCGTGGTGGCTAAAATCAATCACTATTCTTTTTGAGCATCTCCAAGACTATTGTTGGAAGTATTCTTATAATGCAGATGACGACACCGTGATATCCGTGCATCCTTCATCCAATTTATAGCAGATACGAACTTGACAGTTGAAGTAGACTGACTGTTGGTCAGGAAAATTGAAAGCACTCGCAGCCTGAAATGGAGGAAAGTTGCCAGGGTTCCTATGGGGTAATCAGTAATCATCTGCAATTCAGTTGCGTTTGCGTCGCGCTTGTTGAAGCTGCTAGCTTGAGTAGGTAGCGCATGCATAATTTCAACGCTCCCGTTACCGTGCATGATTGAAATTCCAGGTAAATTTTTTTCGTCGCTCTGGATTATTGTCGAAGGACTGGCAGCAGAATGTGGGCGAGCATTGTTGTGCTTCTGTACGACGATGGTTGCCCGCACTCTTCTGGGTACATCATTGTAAAGCCCCGGTAACAGAGGTCTTAAATAATGGCTTATCCGACGCATAATTTTCATTTTGCGTCCTCCACCTACAACTTGCTCGGAGTAGTCAGAGAGGCATGAAAGAGTGTTGACCACCTCAAACGAGGAGCTGAAGGGGGTAGTGCAGTGATGGCTAATTTCTCAGCCGAAACCTTTGTTTTTTTTTTCAAGGCCTTAAGAGGCCTGTCAACGATCGACCAAAAGTGCTGAAAGAAAGGGGACCATTTTGAAGAATAATATGTGAGAAAATCTCATGACTGAATCGCAAGAGAATTTTTATTGTGATCTTGCAGATGATTACTGATTAGCCCTATGCGTTAGCTGAAACTAACTAATTCGATCTACTGACAAGGATAGAACATCCGGATTGGAACCTACCGTGAAGGACTTTGTGAGATCGGAAGAGTACGTAAGTTCAGGCATGAGGAATGTGTCCGTTGAGCATCTTAAACTCTCTTATCAAAAATAGCTTCAAAAAACTCAAAGTCATTTGAAATTTTTGTGAGAATTTATGATCATGTTTTTCTTCGAGTCCCGCCCCCCAAATCAAAGATACAGTACACAATAAAAATGGTTCCTGAGAGACTTCTCTTCGATGAATCTGTGACGTACGCGGGGCGTTAGACATTGCCAAACATATGTATGTACATATGTAGGTGACAGGACTAGACTCCGCCCAATGGGGCGGGGCTGGCACAAAAATGTCGGATCGGACCTAGAGAGCTAAAAATTGGTAGGAGGACAGGAGGCAAGATGGGAACACTGATGGTAGGTGACACGACTAGACTCCACCCACAGTGAGCGTGGCTTGAGCGAAAATATCGAATTCGGACTGAACTGAACCTTCAGTGGGTCATCATTTTCAAGAGGGGCAGCAAGAGATCGAGACTTCTAATTATAGGCATAAGCATCGGCGCATACTGAATACCACTTGGCCCCTAAAGTTTCTGTCAAAATTTTTTCGGGATTATTACCGATTATCTATCATAAGAAGTGGAGAAGCCCGACGTCAGCCGGGCGACAGACTGGTTGATTTACAAACTCCTGAGTTATTCGCTGAAAGCTTCACAATGATCCCATCGATAGACTCCGTCGTTGTTTGTAGTCCCCAATCTGTTTTGTTCTCGTCAGCACAGAAGTCCGATAATGCGACTAAGAAGTGTGGTCGGTGACGTATACCCAAGACGATCAGTTTTAGAAGGTTTTGACTCCAATCAGACGTGTTATCAACGTAGAGCATCCAAAAATTCGAAAGGAAAGCAGAAATAAAGGAAAGCTTTTCTCGAATATTTTATAATGTTGCCGAACGATATCTCACCTTATGTATTATATTTGTGTATGTATTTATATAAGGTTGACTTACCCATATGAATCGATGACAGTATGATTATTGCCTTGTCCGTCAACTATTGAGCAATCGTGTATCATCATTCCATACACCTCGGATGGACAATTCCACACGTGGTAAATGATATCACCCACTTGCGCAAGTTTTATTAAAGGGCCATTGGCAGAATCCTATAAGACTTGCATTGAATCATGAGTATGAATAGCTCTCCGAAAGCAATACCAAGAAAGAATCGAGAAACTATTCTCTATTGAGGTTCACTCAATATATTTTTTTTGTTCAACGCCTTAGTCAGTGAAAATAGAATAGCACGAACCTTGTGGAGAGTATAGCGACACGTTGGCTTCTCACTTTCGCCTGATACCACTGAAGTTGTGAGTTCACTGAAAGCAATATTCA